TCGGGAACATCCACCCATCTACTTCTGAGTGGTCCTCCGGAGCCGTCGGAGCGGGTGGCGCGACCTCCTAGGACACGCAACTGCAGGCTCTGCGGAAAGAGGTGAAGCAACTAAGGGCAGCCTCCTCTACCTCCACCCCAACTCTCCCTCCAATTTCACCGCCCCAACCTTTACCCACCCCATGTCACCAGCCTCCTCAGAAAAAAAAAGGAGGCCTGATGAGAGCCCAGCCAAACCCATGGACTTGGAAGCGAAATTCCAGGATCTGGCAGAAAACTTAGAAGCCAGGTTCACAGAGCACATTACGGTGCAAGTCACTGCACAGTGTCAAATTATGATAGAAGCTATCATTACCCGTATTGTGGATAATGTCCTCTCGAGCATCATGACCAAAGTGGAAAAGCGTTTAGCTCGTCTTACATCTGGGCTCTCAGCAGCCTCTCCTCCCACAGCCTCACTTCCAAAACCTGCTTTGTCCTTGCGCATTACAACATGCCTCCCCAACGGGCCGTAATTCGTTACAAATCATCCAATAAAATGACAAGGGCTTTCGGCGAAAGGCAGCATATTATTATCAATTTTTGTTAGCACCAGATATTAGTGCAATTCAAGATGCGAATGTTTGCATGCAACTTTCAGGCTATGCTGTTATTCGATCAGACTCAACAGATGTTGCTCGCGTGATAACATACATCAGTTACTCCTTACCTTAAGTGCAGTACTCACTTCCCCTATCACTCACACCTTCATTAAAATTTTACCCCCCAACCATGCACGGTCCCCCTTTTTTGTTATTAACTACTATCTTCTTCCACGACAGTCTGTTCAGTTACTTCCTCCTTCAAGTCCGCTGCACAAATGGCAGCAATGAATCCCCTACTCATTATGGGTGACTTTATTTGCGCTCACGAGGACTGGGGCTATCAGAGCACCAACCACAGGGGCACAGTCCTATACAGTGAAGCGTTGATGCTCCATCTGATCACTTTCAATGATTTCAGCCTGCCTACTCGGATTGGTAATAGTGTAACAGCTGATACTAGTCTAGACCTCACGCTTGGAAGAAATATTGTCACGGGGTCATCACGTCGCCGAAGACAGGAGACTTTATTTTGAGATTCAACTGTTTATTTGGGGGAACCTGTGCCCGGCAAATGGAAAGTCTGATAACAGTAGCAGTCTTGTACAGATAGCAGTGAACGGAGCGTCGGCCGTCGATCAACTACTGACAAGCGGCGAAGTGCGTCGGCATTTATACTCTCCCCATTGAATGTTCTAGCGTTATCGCTGGCGGTGACATAGGTTGCAGAATAATCTGTACAGTTCGCGGAGTCGGCGTTATTTTATCAAAATAATCTACTGCAGTACTGAAGTTTCTCTAAAACTGCAGGCGCGGTTTGTGCTGAGAATTGTGTAGTATTTTTGGGGCGATAACAAAACTTGATGAATGAAACATGGCAATATCACCGACTTGCAATGGGAAAGAAAGCAAATCACACTAGGCAGTGACCACCAACTAAGTCGCATCGCAGTGAATTATCAACTACCTTGGCATAAATTTACTGTTGGGCGAGTTAAGGGGGACCAGCTCTGCAAATTCAGGCAATCGCGGCCAACACAGGCCCCCTTTGACTTTGACTCCTGGGTTATGCAGTTACAGGAGGACGTTCTCCAGAATACCTAACGATAGATACAACCCTGAAAATTCCAGTTATCGACAGTAAGCTCACCCATCTCCTGGAAGCTCATATTAACATTACGCAAAGGTTGAAAACTCAAAAGTACATCCAGGAACTAAAATCAAACTCGTGCAGCTTCCAGTGCAAATAGAACACCACAGCGAAGCCCTTTGCAAAGCTTACTGGGATCAGATTTGTGAGAATCTCCGCACAAATCTCTCCACAACCCGCGCTTGGAATCTGCTGCACCACATGCTAGACCCCACGCAATCTAAAAACCAGACGCGTCTTAGCATTCGCCGCCTCACTCATAACTATCGGCAGGACACCGATGCCTTCCTTACACATGTTAAAAGCATCTATACCGCACCTGGTCATTGTACCAAACACCCCGAGTACACTGGAACACCCCAACCCCAAACTTGACGCCCTAATGACAGAATTAAAGTTTCGCGCAGCCTTACTAAAATTACGTAATACAGCACCCGGTAAAGATCAAATTACTAACGCTATCATCCTAAATCATGATGATGCTTCCGTATCTGATCTAGTGAACTACTTTAATGAATGTCGGGAAACTGGTATTCTCCCTGCTTCTTGAAAACACGCGGAAATTATGTTTATCCCTGAACCTCATAATGCCATCATCATCGACAATGTTTGTCCCATTTCATTAACATTCTAACTTGCCAAGGTCTTCGAGCACATAATCCTTGCTAGCCTGACGGTGTACATGGAATAAAATCAACGTTTCCCCCACAGTAAGTTAGGATTTCAAGCGCATCTTTCTGTGCAGGATGCCCTGCTCCCAGTTACTCATGACGTGCTTGACGATACCATTCCCCACCTTAATAAAGCTATCCTGGCGGTAGACCTTTTATAGCATTCGACACTATGCAGGCGGTACAAGTAGGCCCCAGAACTTAAAACTATGTTTGCGCCTTTCTCTCTGGGCGCACTGCCTCCTTGCACATTGATAACTTGAGAACGGACTCTTTTACACTCGGCGAGGTCGGAACTCTTCAACGCGTGCTCCTCTCCCCCTTCCTCGGGAATATTGCTCTCATTCCCTTAGCCCACAAACTGAATCTCATCCCACACCTAAAGCATACCTTGTACGCGTATGATATAACGATATCTACTACGTATGGCTCTGACGGGCAAACAGGAGAAACTCTTCAATAACCAGCCGGCACCATCTCAGCTCACGCGTGATCTAGTGGGCTCAAATGCTCCCCCTCTGAATCCACGCTCCTTCTTATGATACCAAAATCAGCCTCTAACTCGCCCATCGAAATCACATTACGAGGAATAGCTATTCCTCTCACGTCTACACTGCAAATTCTTGGCCTTTACTTGCGGGATTCCGGACGGAATCACCACACCCTCAAAACACTCAAGGCTTCTACGCAATCGGTATTACAGCTTATACGCCGCGCATCTTCTATGCAGAAGGGTTTAGACGAAGCGGACAACATGAAAGTTGTACTTGCTCTCATACTTAGCCGCATTTTATAAGCCACCCCTTATCTTAAGCTGAACCACACAGAAAGTGAACGCGTGAATTCCATCATCCGCCTCGCAACTAAGGCAGCCCTGAACCGTCCTTGCAGCACAAGCACAGCCAAACCTCTTTAACTGGGCATGCACAACACCCTTTCTGAGCAAGTTGAGGCACATTATTTAAGACTTTTCGCTAGCGCTACTGGCCGCCACATTCTCGCCTCCCTTCACATGAGCATGCCCGCTATTCAACCAACCTGCCTGGCCATTCCGAGACACATCATGCCTCTATAATAGTCAAACCCTTGTCTCACTATGTCCACCCTCAGCATCACATCGCTTGCCGCGTAGCTCACGCAAAAGCCCTTCACAAGAGTTACGGACAAGCTTAGAGTGCCATTTGGGTAGACACCGCTTGTACAGCGCAGGAAGCTGTTGTAGTAGCCTACAATTCTACGCTACCTCATCCCCTAATTCACCACCTCCGCTCAGGCTCTACAGCTGATGAGTCAGAGGAGACCGCCATCGCCTTAGCCCTTCCACAATCCGAAGCCCAGTACGTCTTAATCGATTCAGAAACTGTTTTGTACAACTATGACAAGGGCAGAATACACCCCTCTGCCTGGCAGTTGTTGAACCCCCCACAATATATTCACCGCGAATGGTAGAGCTCCAGTGCGTACCGGCTCATTCAGAGAACCCCGGAAATGAGGCTGCCGAGGGTTGCTTTGCCGGGCTCAGGACAGCCTCAATTGGGGCTTCTCGAAGGAGCGGCCGCACACTTCCGCAGAGCTCACGCGAATACCCCGTTTAAACCGTCGGATCTATCCTCCTTCAAATCCCTCTCTTACACACTCCCAACAAATCCTATGAAGGCGCCTCCAGACTCGCACTCTTTCTTCCTCTCAGCTGCTGTCCCACTACTGTGGCACTTCTCCGGAACGTTCCCCCTGCGGCGAACCTCACGCCACCCATTTCCACATCCTATTCGGCTGCCTTGCTGACCCTCCCCAACAAGGGACAGCCTGCCATCTCAAGCTGGAAGGACTGGGAGATCCTTCTTTCGTCAGGGAACCCGGCGTTGCAACTTGCTGCGGTGATAGGGCAGCCGATGTCATCGCGGCCAGGGGCATGACCGTGTAGACATGATGCGGTACCGCGTGACAGTCCAGGGACCCCGGGGTCCAAACACACTTGCTAATAAAAATTTTGTCTGTCTGTCTGTTCGCGGGCGAGTACAAGAGCAGTAGCTCCACCCACGTAGCCTTCCCTTCATTCCTACAGAAAGTTGTCCCCGAGTAAATTAGTCCACTGAGGAAGCCTGCAGGAGCGACGGCACCGAGTTTCAGGCCATTTGAAAAAACACGCAGCGTGTAACGCGCCTTTGAAGCTTGCGTACACAATTGTGTACAGTGTGATTGATTGATATGTGGGGTTTAACGTCCCAAAACCACCATATAATTATGAGAGACGCCGTAGTGGAGGACTCCGGAAATTTCGACCACCTGGGGTTCTTTAACGTGCACCCAAATCTGAGCACACGGACCTACAACATTTCTACCTCCATCGGAAATGCAGCCGCCGCAGCAAGGATTCGAACCCGCGACCTGCGGGTCAGCAGTTGAGTACCTTAGTCACTAGACCATCGCGGCGGGGCTTGTGTACACTGTGACTGAAGAGACTATCTTCATTGTGTAGCAAAAGAGCACCATTTTTTAAAGCCTGGAGTTTCCAATGAGATCTAGAATTTAAAAGTTTCAAGGGAACAAACGAACAAAATTTATGAACGAATGGACAGATGAAATGAATGATACTTACTCCTCCAGTACGCGTACGTGTCCTCATTCTCGTTCTCGTCGTAGGCGCGCAAGTTATGCAGCCCAAAGTCTGTGATCTTGAGCACGAAGCGGCTGTCGACCACGCAGTTCGATGACTTCAGGTTTCCGTGGCTGTGAATTTCGCTGTTGTGCAGGTACGCCATGCCTTTGACGAGGTCGTGCATCAGTGAGTAGCGGAACATCCAGTCCAGCTTAATCTCCTCATTTTCCAGAATGTCCTATGGGATCGAAAGAATAAAAGGAAATATTCATGACTCCATATTTTCTAACGAACACTTGGTGTGCTACTCATGCCTAAAAATTCTTATTTGAATGAGGAAAACGTGAAGCATAATATGAAGTGAGCGGTATAAGGGTGAAAAGCGAGCCGCCTTAACAGGTGGCGAAACGTTTTTTTTTTTTTTGTTCCGAACAAACAAAACGACCATACGAATAATTTTTTGGACAACAACCAAAGCAGCATTGCCCGCAGCCGGTTGGTTCATAGCTAACACTGCTTGGAGAGGCGAAACTTGATACGATGGACAAAGAAAAGAAAGACGTGGACGTCGTTTTACCAGCAATTCAAATTTCATTTCCTAAGCGTGCGGCTCAATAAATAAATAACTAAACGTGCACAGACACCAACGGTCGTTTAGCATTGATTGAGACCGGTCATCGTTTCTGCGGACTGGTTTTACATGCCAAGCACTTCTTTGCGTACTTCAGGAAAGAAAAGTAAAATTGAGGGCTCATTTTCACCGTTAGAAACAATATTAGTATGAACTGACGTACGATTATGCCAAGGAAAGTATAGGGGATATCATTAGAAGTAATTGTAATGCAAATGTCCAGAAATAAAAGTGGATGAAAAGTTAACTTTCCGTGGGCAAGGACCGAACCTGCGACATTCGAATAACGCGTCCGATGCTCTCGTTCACTTTGAGCGTCTATCTCAGACGCTTTCCGCTAGGCGTGGGGCAGACACCTGCGGGCGGGTATGTGCCACATGTATTCGGGTGAGTGTCACAAGTGATTGAGAGTTGATATCTACTCAGGAACGGCGAGAACATACATGGGTAATTTGAGCACGTGAGCGTTATGGAAAAGCTGATATCAGCAGTATTGCCCCAATGTATGCAAAAAAAAATCCCAGCATATGCAAGGAGTGCACGATAAGTAGGGCGAAGCGTCCATCAGTCCGTCCACGCTTCCGTGTGTCCCTTTGTTCTTGCTTCCGTCCATCTATGCGTCCATCCGTGTGACTGTCCGTCCTTGCGCCCATCCGTCCGTCCGCCCCTGCCTTTGTCTGTGCATTCGTCTGTGCGTTCCTTCGTCCGTGCATATGTTCATCCGTCCATCCGTCTGTCTGTTTGTCTATCTGTCCGTTCGTGCATCCGCCCGTGCGTCGGTCCATCTAGTAAAGACTCCAAGTACTGCCATCTCGCATCTTTTGATCATATATTCGATGATGATGATGATGATAATGATGATGATGATGATGACGATGATGATGATGGTTTGCTGCTGTTCCTTTTTCAAAGGGCTGCTGTTCCTTTTTCAAACTAATAGTTGTAAAGACACCCTAGCACACGGATATGGTAAATAAGAAGAAGAATATGATTGAGAGAAAAGAAAGAAAGAAAGAAAGAAAGAAAGAAGAAAAGAAACAACAAAAAATAAAAAGAAACATTCCATCGAAGGCGCCCAACAAGAGGGAGGAAAACGAAACAAACAAAAAAGATTGGGGAACATTAGAAGAAAGCACAAGCACAAGGGCGCGCTCAGTTGGTGCTTGATAACACAACCGCACTTTGACACTGCACTACCTCTATGTTGCCATTACACTGCGCCACCGTGTGTTCTCGACCGCTGTGCCACAACCCATGCCCTCCAGCGTTCAAGGCACCGCATCGACACTCTCACTGCCTGTAGATCTATTTCTCCATTGTTCCCGCAAAGCCCAGTGTGGTGCGCAATGACTCCGTGCGCGGGCGGCCTATATGCTCGCACACAATCCCAAGATGTGCCATTGTCTCGTCGGCACTTCCACATGCGCGACACCACACCAAAACCATCTTACTGCCGATCTTTCGCTTGTACGTAAGGGTTTGAAGTGCCCCAGCTCGAGCCTTGAACAGAAGCGAGCTCCCGGTGCTGTTATCATACATGCGAACTGAATATATCATGCTTTTACTGTTGCGGTAAAGTTCGAGGGTAGCTATTCCACTCAATGCGTGTTGCCACAGCTCCTCCTTCTTGTCACGCACCCGCTCACGCACCTCCTTGGTATAGAACAGTTTCAGCCTGTACCGGTTCTGTGAAGGTTACCTACGTTCATTTTTCCAGTTGGTAAACCCGGTTCTAGAGATTGAAGTAAGTAGAAGAATAAGAATGGGGTGGAGCACATTTGGCAAGCACTCTGAAATCATGACAGTTAGATTGCCACTATTCCTCAAGAGGAAGGTATATAACAGCTGCATATTGCCGCTACTTAGCTATGGAGCAGAAACCTGGAGACTTACAAAGAGGGTTCAGCTTAAATTGAGAACGACGCAGTGAGCAATGGAAAGAAAAATGGTAAGTGTAACCTTAAGATACAAAAAGAGAGCAGAGTGGTTTAAGGAACAAACGGGGGTTAAGGATATAGTTGATATCAAGAAGAGGAAATGGACAATGGCCGGGCATGTAGCACATAGACAGGATAACCACTGGTCATTAAGGGTAGCTAACTGGATTCCGAGAGAAGGCAAGTGGGTTAGAGGGTTACAGAATGTTAGGTAGGTAGATGAGATTAAGAAGTTTGCGGGTATAAATTGGCAGCAGCAAGCACAGGACCGAGTTGACTGGCGGAACATGGGAGGTCCTGCAGTGGACGTAGTAAGGCTGACAATGATGATGACACCCGGTTCACCCAAGTTGTACACATGCACGTTGCCGTCAGGTATCCGAATACCTGCCTTGCCCAGTGCTTTTGACTAATGAATTCAAGGCGACCCCTGTATTTTACTGGAGGCCTCGCGAGCTTCAAATCTAGACCAGCCCAGGTCCCCCTAAACTGCCTTGTTCGCCATTCTTCCATAACACGCAAGCGCTGCGCGGTCAACTTCTCGTTGTCGCAGCTCCAGCCATTCTCCGGTGGACGCTGTCATGCAGACTACTGCGTTGGCAAATGTGAAGTAGGTAACGTGCACCAGCTTTCATACGTCTCACCCCAAGATGAAGCCGTTGTACCCCCACAAGATGCTGCGCCGAAGAATGCACTGAGCACGCACTGAGGCCTGGCGGATGTGGGCTTCGTGGTGGTTATACATACTGGCCTCAGAGCAGAGTAGCAAGCTGAAGTACTTAGATGTAGTTCCAGGGCCTTGTTCTCACTTCCCAGCTAGAGATCTACAGCTTCAGCTATGTAACCAGCAAATGGCACAACCTTGGTTTTTTTGTCATTGAAACGTAAACCCGGTGACACCATTTATGTGGCACAAATGTCGAGAAGAGCATGCAGCTCTGCTTTGCTTTGAGCCATTAATACCACGTCATCCGCAAAAGCCACGCCAGGCGGCCATTGGTTTTCGTCGATTCCGCTTGTGCTATTGGCCGCGATGGCCTCCACTAGAGAGGCCAGCGCTGCTATCGTTTGCACGTCACAAATAGGGTAGTAGTTGTGGAATTCGGCAGCTTTGCTTTCGCGAAACCACTTGCATCTTTCCGCATGGCTGCACCCACCGGGTCTTAGTCGCGATTTTACGATGCAAATTAGACACGAGAGTGCCACCGGGGGCACCGATTCGTAGCCTACTTGCCCGTATTATCAGGTCTTAAACCACGTCGTTGAGCACTGAGCTTCTAAACAAAAGGAAGCACGCACGGTGTCCACAGCAGAAGCACAGAAAATGCGGTGTTCTAGCAGACAACACAACCCGGCATCTTATGAGTGACGTCATCACGTAGGTGGCGCCACAGTATGTCCTCAAAGTCAATACTCCAGGCGGAATCCAAGACTGGACTGGAGATACACAATGCGGCTAGACGTGTGAAGAAGATATCACGTGGCATTGCCGTATGCTTTTTTGACATCCATGAAGCAGCATAACAACGTACGTCCTTCTTTCTAGGCAGTCTCTTCACATTGTGTGAAAACAAAAAGGTTGTCCTCAAGTCGCCGCCCCTTCTGAAAACCATTTTGCAGCTCTGTAAGCTGCCGTTTACTTTCAGCCCATTCACTGATCCAGCCCTTAAGCACCTGGGTAAAAAGACTGTACATAGTGCTAGTGACTGTGTGCTGCCGGTAGTCTTGGAGGTTCCGTGCCATAACTCCACGTTTGAGGATGAGGGAGATTCTGCCCCGTCTTCAGACCACTGGAATGTCTGCTCCCACAACAATGTCGTTTAACAGGCTAGCTAAGTGCTCTTTTGCCCCTTGTCCAAGGCACTTAAGTAGCGGGGTGGGATGCCATCTAGCCCTGGGGCTGTGTGGGCTCGGAGTCAGGAAAGAGCACGGTCTAGAAAGATGCATCTGATTGCCCATTTTGGGGCCCCTTCTTCCTGGAAACTCTGTGCGATATTTTCTTCTACACCTTGGAAGTTCCTGTCATTGACCTGGAGGCCTCTCGTACACGCAAGTCACCCATACGCAGTCTTTAGGAGCTCTGTCAAGGCAATCTTCATGTCCAGGGCAGGGTTGACAGTGCTGTCTACAATGAACTCAGCATGAACTCCCCTTGGTCCAATGTTCGAACATAGTTCCAGAATTTCTGGGCCGCGTTCTTGCCTTCTCGTTTCAGCTTTTGCAGGAACAGCACATTGGACCTAGAAAGCTTCACCTGCACAATAGGCTGAATGTCCCACTTGAGTTGAAGACAGCGCTGCCATTAGACGTCAGTTTGCACAGCATCTTTAATCTTGACTGCTCGACAGTGAGAGCGATTTGCTTCCTGTCATGCATGCCACGCTTAGGCAACTTCCATGTACCGCCAAAGGTTTCGGTCGTAGCGAGCTCGTATTGTGCCACTAGTGACTTTATGCCTCTCCATGAGGCGACTTAGTACTGACACATACCCTTTGTATGTCTTCGCGTTCTCTCTGGGCCCCTTTCGAATTGCTCCGCCAACTTTTCAAGTGGGCTCACTGGCAGATACCTATTAGGGGTCAATTTGTGTTTTGAGTCTAGCTCTCGGTGTTGGGCTTTAGATAAATCCAGCCGAAGCCAATTTTGGTCGCTCCCGGCGCTATGCATTCTCTTCTCATATACGTGAAGTCGTCGTGGGGCTTTCACCAGCCCATCTGACGCCAAGGCATAGTCGATGAACGTGCTGCTTCCCTGAGCACACCAAGTTGTTTGGCCCTCACAACATGAAGCGCTGTTGAGGATTTCCAGTTGAAGCTGTTCTGCCAGTTGAGTGAGCAGTTTGCCATTCGCATCTGTATAGCCATTTAGCTCTGAAATATGTCCATTGAAGTCTCCCAAGACGAGCACTTCCCTGCAGCCCGCCAGACGTTCCGCATCTCCAAGAGCGCACTCCAACAGTGCTCAATTTATTCACAGTGCACACACTTGACAGCGCAATACACCACACACACCACCACTGGTACCCTCGTAAAGTCGCCCGTCATCCACAAACGGTCAGCACAGTACCTGTCTTCTCACTCCCACTTCTGTTCACGTCTCCACAGGAAGCCCACACCTTCTCCCTTTCGACCATGACCAGTTCCGTTCTTGCCTTCCCATCTCCCGTCGGCATGAATAGGTGCCTCCTTGAGCCCGCGGAGATGGGTCTCAGCTACAGCATTGAGCAGGATGTGCTCTGTGGTCATAGCTCAGTATAGCTCTTCTCACTTCAGCACATGACGAGCACCGTTCATATTGCCGCGTGCATAGCTGCATTTAGCGGCGAGATAGCGAGGACAACGAAGAACGCGGATTTGCTCGAGAGGCGCAGCGCAGCAGAGTGAAGAAGACGACAATCTTAGCGGCCTTCTCTAAGAGCGTCTCTACAAGTCTCACTGTCCGTGTTTTTAAATAAACCCCCTGTAATTTATAACCCGCGACACTGGTGGAAGTGCTGGGTACTACCACCTCATGATCAGCACCCCTGTGAGAAGCCCCGAGTCCAGCCCTACAAGACAGCCACGCGTGGAGACGCCTGTGCACCGCTCAAGCCGTCGCCTTCAAGGTCTTGAACCAGAATTTGGCTTTTTAAAGGGAGCAACACTTCCGACAACCACCCATACTCGAGAAATGGCAAGGAGTCCTGAACAGGTGACGGTCCAGAATATGCGCATTCCTGAACCATTTCATGGCCGGCCGAACGAAGATGCGCAAGACTGGCTTGAGCAGTTCGAACGGGTAGCTAAATCGAACTACTGGAGTCTCGATGGAAAGCTCTTCCACGTATACTTCGCCCTTGAAGACGGCGCGAAGTCGTGGTTCATAAACCGGGAGGCAACATTGACGACATGGGAGGAGTTTTGTCGTCGGTTTCTTGACACCTTCGGTAACGCGGACCGACGCGAAAACGCACAACGCCTTCTTGAAGGACGCACCCAACAGCTGCATGAAAGCGTCGCCATGTTTGCTGAGGATATGGTGCGTCTGTGCCACCGAGCGGACCCCAACATGCCCGAGGCTCGAAAGCTAAGCCATCTCATGAGGGGCGTCAAAGAGCAGCTATTTGTTGGTCTTGTGCGCAATCCGCCGACAACAGTGGACGAGTTCACCAGGGAGGCCACCGCAATAGAGCGTGCGCTACAGCAACGGTACCGACAGTCTGATCGCCCGGCCACCAGCGCAGCTGCAGGCGCCGCCGCACTTAGCGCAAACGACGAGTATTCTCTACGCCACCTGATCAGACAGATCGTGCGTGAGGAGATCGCGAAGGAGAACGCAAAATACACATTGCAGTCACAGGCGCCCCCGAAGCAGGAGTCCACGGTAGCCTCCGTCGATGAAGTCGTTCGCCATGAACTTCGACAAGCGTTTGCCTCTTCTCAGCAATATTCCCCTCCACCGCACCGTCCAAACTCGTGTACTTATGCCGACGCTGTGCGTCGTCCATTGGCTCCAGAAGTAGCATACCAGCCGAACGGATACAGCTATGCAGACGCTGTTTGTCGACCCACGCCCATGCCAGCGCCGCAGTACCTCGAACCGTATCCTGTGGCAGCCTGGGCTCAGCAGGATTCCGTCAGGCGACCCTATATGCGGAAGACCGACATATGGCGTACTGCGGATCGTCGACCACTCTGCTACAACTGTGGAGAGCCAGGGCACATTTACCGTTTTTGCCCACATCGCCGAGCTGAATACCGCGGTAGTGCACCTACAGCTACGCGCCGACAGTTCGACGAAAGCCGTGCCCCCATCGACAACGACCAGGCTGGCAGGCGGGAAGGCTCTTCTACCTTCCGGACGCGGTCACCATCACCGCCTCGCTTTGGTTCACCAAGCCGCCGTAGTTTCGCTGACGCCGTCAGAGGTCGGTCTCCCAGCCCACGGCGGGGAAACTGAAAGCAGCGACCTCTGGGGGGAAGGTTGCAAGCCGTCGAATGGCCGAAAATCCCCCACTGCTGCCGAAACACGTGAGAGACGACGATGAAGACTTCGCCGAGAAAACTGTGACTGCCGACCTCGCTGTGACGATTGACGGCGTTGAAGTGACGGCCTTAGTCGATACGGGTGCAGACTTCTCCATAATGAGTGAACGATTGGCAGACGAACTCAAGAAAGTCAAGATGGAATGGACGGGCCCTTATATCCGAAGTGCTGGAGGCCAGATAATGACTCCCACGGGAAAATGTACAGCAAGACTCACTATTGAGAATGTGGCTTTTATAGCCACATTTCTGATCCTACCGGAGTGCTGCAAACCTATGATACTGGGAATGGACTTCTTAAGAGAGTACGGTGCTGTGGTCAACATACGCGACGGTGGGATCACATTCGCCGCCGACAAGTCTGTGACCACTGATCCAGACCAAGAACCCAGGGTGTTACGTGTGGTCGACGACGACGTCTGCGTGCCACCACTGTCATGTAGTCTTGTTTCCGTGTGTTGCGCCGTGCACTGTAATTAAGACGCCATAGCCGAACGCATCACTGACTTTCTTTTTCACCAAGGCATCGCCATCGCTCGCGGTATCGTCAGCTTAGTGGACGGGCGCGCAGACGTGCTTCTGACCAACTTCACGAATGAGCGCCGGCACATCGGTAAAGGCACGGCTGTGGCGTACCTCGAAGAGCCCGACTACTCTCACGACTGTCTTCTAATGCAAGGGGAAGCCACAGCTCAACCACCTCCACATACACCACCAGTTGATATCGGTCCGAGTCTAACACCGACTGAAAGATGCCGTCTTATGGAGCTGCTCGACCAGTTCAAGGACTGCTTCTCATCGACATCACGAGTAGGTGGAACGCCTCTGACTAAGCATCGCATAATTACGGAAGACACAGTAAGACTGATCCGACAGAACCCATATCGCCTCGCTCAGAAAGAACGTGAGGTAATCCAGCAGCAAGTCAAGAAGATGCTAGAGGATGACGTTATCCAACCATCAAAGAGTCCTTGGGCATCGCCAGTGGTACTCGTGAAAAAGAAAGACGGCAGCTTGCGTTTCTGCATCGATTATTGTAAGCTGAACCATGTTACAAAAAAAGATGTTTATCCATTACCACGGATCGATGACTCTTTGGACAGGCTACGGCATGCGCGCTACTTCTCGTCAATGGACCTTAAAAGTGGATACTGGCAAATAGAAGTAGATGAGCGCGACCGAGAAAAGACCGCCTTCGTGACGCCAGACGGGCTTTATAAATTCAAAGTCCTCCCTTTCGGTCTATGCTCAGCCCCAGCCACGTTTCAGAGACTAATGGATACCATTCTGTCCGGCCTGAAATGGAAAAGCATGCCTTGTGTACCTCGACGACGTGATCGTTTTTTCGGCCACGTTTGAAGAGCATCTAAAGCGGCTACTGTCAGTCCTTCAAGCCATACGGTCCGCTGGACTCACACTCAAACCGGAAAAATGCCACTTCGACTTCGAAGAACTCCAGTTCCTGGGACAAGTGATCAGTCGTGAAGGTGTGAATCCTGACCCAGATAAAACAGCAGCCGTCGCAAAGTTCGCAAGGCCTGTTGATAAGAAAGCGGCCAGGCGTTTTCTGAGTCTCTGCGCCTACTACCAGCTATTTATAGCAGGCTTCGCACACATCGCCTCCCCACTCACCCGCCTTACAAGGGAAGACATCGCATTTGTATGGGGTGAAGAGCAAGAAGCTTCATTCAACGAGCTGCGACAGCGTCTACAAACTCCACCTGTCCTCGCTCACTTCGACGAGAATACACCAACAGCCATCCATACAGACGCCAGCAATGTGGGCCTAGGTGCTGTTCTTGTCCAATGCCAAGATGGTGTGGAGAGAGTGGTTGCCTACGCTAGCAGAACGTTCACACGCGCCTAGTCCAACTACTCAACAACGGAGAAGGAGTGTCTGGGCGTCGTTTGGGCAGTTGCGAAGTTCCGCCCGTACTTATATGGCCGCGCTTTCCAAGTCGTAAGCGACCATCACTCTCTTTGTTGGTTGACCAATATGAAAGACCCCTCTGGCCATTTAGCACGATGGAGCTTACGGCTCCAAGAGTACGACATGGCCGTAGTTTACAAGTCCGGAAGGCAACACTTAGACGCCGACTGTTTGTCAAGTTCACCGATGAAATCACCGGCTATAGAGGATGATGATTTCCCAGGTTTTTTAGGAGTTGTTGATGCAGCTATCATTTCTCGGCAACAACAAGATGATCGGGAGCTCAACTCGCTTATAGAATTCTTGAACGGACGAGCCGCCAATGCACCAAGAGTGTTTTCGAAGAACTTATCGTCATTCTGTTTACGGGACGGAATTCTGTACAAAAAGAACTTTTCATCAACAGGTAGAAGCTATCTGCTGGTAGTTCCTGGAGCTCTCCGCAGCGAAATTTTACAAGCCTGCCATGACGAAGCCACTGCGGGCCACCTCGGTTTCACAAGAACACTGACACGCATCAAAGAAAAATATTACTGGCCAAGAATCGCAGCAGAGGTTAAACATTACGTCCGAACATGCATTGACTGTCAGCGGCGCAAGGTACCACCTGTCAAACCCGCCGGGCTATTACATCCTGTGCCCATGCCAGAAACCCCGTTTTCTCAAATCGGAATGGATCTGCTGGGCCCATTCCCAACATCGGACAGCGGCAACAAATGGGTTATAGTGGCGACGGACTACCTCCCCCGATACGCGGAGACCAAGGCAATCGCGAGTGGCACTGCAGCTGAAGTGGCCCAGTTCTTCATTGAGAACATTGTTCTGAGACATGGTGCTCCAGCTGTCGTCATAACAGACAAAGGTACCGCGTTTACAGCCAAGCTTTTGCGCACTGTGCTTACGCTCAGTGGCACAGCGCATAGAAAGACGACAGCTTACCACCCACAAACGAATGGGCTTACAGAAAGACTTAACAGGACAATCGCTGACATGCTTTGCATGTACGTCGACGTAGAACACAAGAATTGGGACCGAATATTGCCGTACATCACATTCGCGTATAATACGGCGTGCCAGGAAACAACAAAAATGACGCCGTTCGCACTAATTCATGGCAGAGAAGTTACGACAATGCTTGACGCCATGCTGCCTTATGATTGCAATGACTCAAAGACAGACGCCGCAGACTTCACTGAGCGCGCCGAAGAAGCAAGGCAGCTTGCCCGTGTCAGAATAATGAACCAGCAGCAACTTGACGCCCAACGGTACAACCTTCGCCATCGATTCGTCA